TTTTATTCTCTAGTGCTTATTCTTTCTTTCTCTTTACTCTTAGAGTGCTTTATTCTTTCTTTCTTTAATCTTTCTCAAGTTATTGCATATATGCAAATATATGCATGTGGATGGCTTATGCTTATAATTCTTTCTTAGATGCACTCATGAAATGCAAATATGCAATGTTGCATGAAATTAAAGTTCTCTACTCATACTCATGCTTCTCTCAGGCATTTCATCAAACAATAAATGTGCATACATAAACTCTACTTCTCTCTTTAACCATCCAAAATGGGAGTAGAACTCCCTTGTATTATCAAAATCCCTGTCAAGGAAAAACACTCCCAAAAGTTTACTCAAACTCTTCCAACTCCAACCAAACTTCAATCCATCATCATACAATAAAAAACACTTCTCATAACTCAAATATATCCAACATCAAGCATAAGTAAGCACCCATCTCATCTCAATTTCTCAACAATCATAACATATACATACATAAAGAAATCTCTACTCAGTTGATTTCTTAAACCTTAACTTGGGTTGGATTTACTTACCTTATGCTTGAATAGTCCTCACTAAGGCTCTCTACACTTGTTGGACTCAAACTTTCTCTTTATTTCTTAAGCATAAACTTAGTAAGCATTCAACTCTTACACAAATAAATTTCATATCTAGAGCAAGGATTCTTACCTCTTATTGCTTAGGATCAACTCCTTATCAATTTCCAACCAAAAGCCTTAAAAAATCCTTGAAAGGTTGAGTGAAGAGTTGAGAGAAAATGAAGGATGGAAGAGGCGGTGTAAGAAGAGAAATGAAGGGGTTTATAAGACTAAACCCTTATTATATCATATTATAAGCACTCTTTCCCATTTTGCCCTTACACTTTCTTAAAAATTCCATCTTTGACCTTTAATTCTTTGCACTCACACCCTCAACTCCAATGTATTCTCCATGAAATTTTCTTACATTTCACTCCCCACTTTTCTTGCTAATTAGGGGTAGAATGGTCACTTTGCCCCTACAAAAAATTCTCTAGCAACTTTGCCAAACATTTCAGTCGGTTCTTCGCCGTGGCGAAGGCTTTTTCTTCGCCCCGGCAAAAATTTCTAGAACCTGCGGTGCCACGGCGAAGATTCTTCTTCGCCCCGACGAACTTTGTAACTCAAATTTTTGCCAACTTGTTACTAATTTCAGGACAACCACTCAATCGAACCAAAATACTAATTCAACTAAGGATCAACCAAACAATATTAACAATATACAAGCTTAATTAAGGGCAAACCGATCAACATATAGGCAATACAACATACTTTAGCTACGTACCTCAAGTGGGCGTTACAAAGAGAGATGATTTCTTGACCTTATCAGATTAAGTTTAATAGCTTAAATAAGATTTGGAATCTTAGTAGGACACTAAGAATTATTTTGGGATATAATCCCTATTGTGAAAGAGATATGATTTCTTGACCTTATCAAATCAAGTTTGATAGTTTGAGTAAGATTTGGAATCTTAATAGAAGAGGAAATAGCATAGGATTCTGATTTCCTATTTATAGACTATTGTAGGCTAATGGGTTGAAACCCAGTTTAGCTTAACTTATAAGATAGTCCAACTTATAAAGTGGGTAGTTCACAAGGTGATTTTAAGCGTCGGCCCAATCGGGATTGGGTTGAGGCCTTGGGCAGTGACATGTTTATTTTGTTATTGGGCCTTCTGAAGCCCAAGATGATTTTTGGCCCTAACAGTTAGCCCCCAACTCTTTAAGTTAAAAAGTATTTAGCTTAGAGAGTTGATTTAATCGAATGAGTGCAGACTGAGCGGATTAGTGATAGTAGCTCGTTAGGTCGGATGGATCGTTGTGTGGATTGGGTCGATGACTTGTCGATTTGATATGCAAGTCCTTCAATCGGTCTGGGCCGATTGAATGTGTAAATCTATAAATTGGTTTAGGCCGATCGAAGGTGTCTACTTATGAATCGGTCTGGGCCGATCGAAGGTGTAAACTTGTGAATCAGTTTGGCCCGATCGAAGGTGTAAACTTATGAATCTATCTAGGCCGATTGAAGGTGTAAACTCATGAATCGGTCTGAGTTGATCGTAGGTGTAAACTCATGAATTGGTCCAGGTTGATTGAAGGTGTAAACTCATGAATCAGTCTGAGCCGATTGAAAGTGTAAACTCATGAATCGATTTGGGCCGATTGAAGGTGTAAACTCATGAGCTGGTCTGGGCCGATCGAAGGTGTAAACTCATGAATCGGTCTGGGCCAATCGAAGGTGTAAACTTATGAATTGGTCTGTGCCGATCAAAGGTGTAAACTCATGAATCGGTCTGGGCCAATCGAAGGTGTAAACTCATGAATCGGTTTGAACCGATCGAAGGTGAAAACTCATGAATTGGTCTGGGCCGATCGAACGTGTAAACTCATGAATCGGTTTGAACCGATCGAAGGTGTAAACTCATGAATTGGTCCGGGCCGATCGAATGAATCGGTCTGAGCCAATCAAAGGTGTAAACTCATGAATCGGTCTGGGCTGATCGAAGGTGTAAACTTATGATTCAATCTGAGCCGATTGAAGGTATAAACTCATGAATCAGTCTGCGCCAATTGAAGGTGTAAGCTCATGAATCAATCTGAGCCGATCGAAGATGTAAACTCATGAATTGGTCTAGTCAATCGAAGGTATAAACTCATGAATTGGTCTAAGCCGATCGAAGGTGAATGCCAAGTGGATAGCCTAAAAAATTCAATAAAAAATCAAAAGAATAACAGAGAAAATGTGATGCAATTGGAAGAAGGGAATGATACCCAATTCCTGAAATTACAGAAAAAGATTAAAAAAGAATGAAACTTACCAATCGAAAAAAGGATCTTGATTGATTGATAGTTGACACAGACCCTTTAATTGAATAAGACAAGAGTATAGTAGGTTCCAAGGAATAAGCCCAAATTAGATAAAGTTTTATCATTTTTTTAATGATAATAAGAACACGAAGTGAAAAAGTGGGTAGAATTAATTTAAAAAAAATTAATAATATGATAAATTATGGCACATTGTTTTCAGGAAAGGATCCCAAAACCACCAAACTCAATACCACTTTTCGCGCTATAGCCTACAAGTACAAATATAACAAAGCGGTTTTCAGACAGGACATAAAAGACTTTAAAAGTCAACAGAAGTGCTTCGTCAATCGGTGGACCGTTTTGCCCTCTACATTTTTGTTTATTGTAAATTAATATTATTAATAGGATTTCCTCTTTTTTTTATTTTTTTTTATTTTTTTTTATCTCAATTTGAAAACAAAGTTAATAAATTATTGGTAATTTAGGGGTGAGCATGGATAGTGGGTAGAACCAGAACCGGAATCAGAACCTACTTAGAATCGACATGATGCGGGTATGTTCTAGTTCCATTTTGTTAGAACCGACATTGTGCGGTTTCGGTTCCTACATATTTCAGAATTGGAATTGGAACTTGGGAAAAAAACTTGAAGCGGGCACCTTGCTTAGAACATGTTTGTGTTTTGGTTTTGATTAATAAATTTTATGTGAATTGTGATGAATTGATTGAATTAAAGTGTTGCCTAGAGATTAGAGGATTTATGAGTCACATTGTACACAAATGAATGAGTAATCAAAAGTTGAAAACTACTAAATGTAGGTTTTCTTAATTTGTTAGTGGTGTATTTGTAAACTTTTAAGGTATTTTTGTCATTTTTTAAACTAATAGGGGGTAATTAATTTTTTACATGATACTTTGGGTAAGGAATCGGAGTCTGCATTTTAGGTTCTGATTCCTTGAATTTAAGAACCGGAACCTATTGGTTCCAATTTTGATTTCTTTTTTTGGGAACCTACACTGTGTAGTTTTGGTTCCGGCTCCCTTGAAAAATGCACTGGACCCAGAACTGCTTACCCCTAATTGATATTGGATAAAGATCAATTTATTTTTATCCAATTTTTTTATTTTTTTATCAATAGCTAAGATATAGTATAAGATTCTTTAAGATCTTTTTTATATTTTATATTTTTGGTTATTTTATTTTATTTTATTTTTGTGTATTCATTATTATTATTATCATATTATATTTGGGCCAACTTACATGCGACTAATTCTCGGGAGAGATGCAAAAGAAGTAGGTAACTAGCACTGGTCCTACCACACTCGAACTATCCATCGCTAACATATATGTATACAACTAAATGAAAAACATAAAATGATAATTAAATATGTAATATACACTATCGTCGTCTAACAATTTCATGACGTAGGACAAATGTAAATTCTAATACCCCCTTGTCGTAACGTGTAGAGTAATGCGAGATAATTGCTAATTCTCTCTCATGTATAGTGTGTAGAAAATTAAATAGGTCAATCACGTGTTACATATTGGGTTAAAGTCTAAAGCTAAGGGTCCGTTTGTTTTATTATTTTGGATAGGATTTTAGAAATAATATTGGGTAGTTGAATAGGGTGAGTATTACGAGATAAGATTCAAAATTCACAAAAAAACCCCTTAGGTTTGCTAATTTAACTAAACACCCTAATATATAAAAATTTTGTAAAATGACAAAAACACCCCCACCTACCCACAGTGCCAGATTCTGGCCATCACCGTTAGAATCCGACCAAAAAATAGCGTTATGATATAGACCGGTCGGATCTGGCCGGTCGTGCGTTGATATGACATTTTTCAACCAAATCCACCGCTGATCTAGCTAGAAAAGGCTAGATTTGACATTTGATGGCCGCAAAAGATTAGATTTGATTGTTAGCAATGACCAAAGATATGGCCGTTGTTGTCGGTCAACAATGGCCATTTATTTGGCCGTCAGATCTGACCTTTTTTCGGCCAAAGAAAAACAATACTGAATGTACACTGTTTCACTAATATATATAACTATTTCTTTCACAGGGTGGAATTTTAATGGACAATATCCATGTTACGTATTCCTCATACTATAACTACTACTACTGCACATGAAACCATATTAAAACTCCCTTGGAGGGTGTTAACGAGGTGGGATGATGGGAATGACATCACTCACAAGGTCACTGCCTGATACATAAGAATATAAGATGAAAAATGTTGATCCCTCATCATGAACGATGAAGAAGCTGATGCTGATGTTGATTTGCTGCCAGAATGCATGGAGGTGGATTCAGAAAATGTGGCATCAGTTTCTGGTATCATCTTCAGTATGGTTTCTAGCTCCCTCACTACATCTGACATGGATGGCCGTCGTTCTGTCCTGTCATGGCAACAATTGAGGGCCAAAGCTACAAATCTTTCGATGCATTCAGATGGATAAGACCCCATTCTATTGTCTATGACGGAGAACATCAAGCCCGATTCACGAGCTATATTCACCTGGATATAGGTTTCGTTTTCTCGTAAGAAAGGTATGCAACAGGGAATAGATATTCAGGAAAGAGTTGTGTGTGTTAGAAAGTACCTCGCGAACTATGTTTTTTCCATGTGATATTGGTTGCATACCCGTCAAGAGCTCCAGGAGTACAACTCCGAGGCTATAAACATCACTTTTATCTGTCAAATTGTGAGTTAGAAAATATTCTGGATCGAGGTAGCCCTGCATGTATAAGATCAATAAATATGTAACTTGAGGCAGGAATAAAAAATTGGCCAAGACTTACAATGAAGTTGGATATTTGTTGAGAAAGATTAATTTTGAAAAGCTTTATGATCCTTGAACATGTGGATGAACAATGTTAACAGATTCAAACTTACTGGTGTTCCCTTGACAATTGTGGAAACATGAGTTGGCATGGTTCCTTCATCATCTAGGACCGGAGCAAGTCGTGAGAGTCCAAAATCAGCAACTTTAGCAATAAACTTGGAGTCAAGAAGTATGTTGCTGGCTTTGATATCTCGGTGGAACACAGGTGGGTTTGCTTCAGTATGGAGGTAAAGAATCCCCTTAGCTGAATCTAATGCAATGCGGACCCTCATACCAAAATTATGGAGTGCTTTAGCTTTACCTGCATTTGATATTCAAAAATCAAATTTTGAGCCCGGAAAATAAGAATAGAAGGGGTTAATAACCACGGATTCTGAAATTTTTCATACCCGAAAGCCAGTCTCTCAAGGTGCCATTAGGCATGAACTCATACACCAGCATCTGCAGAAGTACCAAGAACACAAGCAGTGTGATTTAACAAATTTTTATAGACCTAATTTTTTCTTGGGTAAAACATCCATAAATCAGATATGTCTTGGCATCTAGCAGAACATACCTGCTCCTCTTCTTCATCACAGTAGCCCAACAAAGAAACCAGGTTCCGATGATGTAACCTTGACAATAATTTTATCTCAGTCAAGAATTCTTTTTGGCCCTGTAAAGATCCTTCTTCTGCTCGTTTTATGGCGACTACTGTATTGTCAGATAAAATGCCTTTATAAACCTTTCCATAACCTCCTTGACCAACTTGAGTTGAGCGGTTAAAGTTGTCAGTTGCCGATGCCAATTCTTTGAACTTGAAGCCCTTCACTCCATCAATTTTCATTGAAACCTTTGTGGCTGCAAAGCATAAGGAACTTCACACTTCTTTCCCAATAGTATGTTAATATTGAAGGAGTTGCAGAAATCAATATAGGTAGTTGTATTAGAAAACTCACACATCCGCCTTCTTGACAGGGAGTGCTGATTTCTGGCATGTCTTCTTGTCATCAGAAATGTTACGGCTGCAGATATTACCACAGCACTGGCAGTGGCTGCTACTACAATTGCTGCCAAAGCACCTTTACGAATACCTGTCCTTTGAGTCTCAGGATTTACTGTAGCAGTGAAGAAATCATAAGTATAAATTAAGACAGCATTTATCATTGCAACATGCAGAAAGGCAATTAAATATAAACAGAACTACTAAATCTATCAATTCCAAGCTCAGTGTATCCATAGAAAAGTCTACTTAAGGCTAAAGTTTTTTTTAGAACAAATTAAAGAGCAATGGCAGGCTTAGATACATACGGAGAGTGAAGTTGAGCAGCTCATAAGGTCCAAATAGGTCATCACCAGGAAATTTCCAGGATGTAAATATGTCTCTAATTCGCTGCACCTCACTTGTATTAAACGTACTTGAGTTGGCATGAGGAAACAGCTTCAAATACATCCTTATACGAGGTCCTTTCTCCCAAGCAATTGAATCAACTGATAGTTGATAAATGCTTAAGTTGAGAGAACTAGTCACGTATGCTTCAAAAAGGTTGGCATATGGACCGAAATAAGAGAAACTAGGACTTTTCAGCCCGTATCCAATTCTCAGAGGTGCTGCACAGGTACATAAATCACCAGATGCTGGGACATATTCGTAGAAATTATCTGTAGGACATGCGTGAATAGGACATTTTGAATTGGTGGATTTTGTAATTGTCTCATCGTCTTCTGCTTCAGAATCACAGAATTGGTCTATGTTTGGTATGTTTGCAGTTGTGCAGATAGGATTGCCGGCGAGCCTAAAAATAAACCGCTAATATGGTAAGAAATGAGTGGCAAAATTAAGGACCAATATGCAGTATAGCTTTTCCATTAATAAAGTATTTGTAGTTTTCATGATGACCAGAATAACTGGAAAGAAAGTAGAAGATTAAACAGTAAAGAGAACAAAAATCAATAAACAAATACACTAGAAATTTTCATTTGCATGCCGTTTCTAGGACATCATACATCAATTTACATCATCTTTATTCTGCTTATCAGTTTTCATGTGACTTAGAAAAGGAATACCTGCATGGTTCATTATTTGCCAGGGGCAAGCAAAAGCTTACAGCTATTTCTAGTCAAGCAATAGTTATCTTGTCGCTACATCATAAAATATTCAAACATTAGAAAAGCTAGTTGTATCATTTCCATCTCCATAGAGATATGCTTGTTGGCCTTTCCTATAGCAGGTCATTATGAGCAACAAATCTAACCACTATACAGAGGCATAAGTTCATAAATTTATCTATTTAAGCAGATTTTATATTAGATTATTAGTAGACAAACTGCGTCCTTGATTGTCGTACATGCTATGCATCAAGATAAATCCACTCAAGTTCAGAATCTTGAAATTGCCATATCATTAGTCTGGTTTTTATGAAAATGTTATACCTGCAAAGTCCAAGATGTCCAACCATGCAAAATCCTCATTCATGCAGTGTAATTAACTAGCAGAACATATAATGATGTATATAATAAGAAAGCAGCATACCTTAGTGTGACATTGTTTGGAGGATCTAGATCTCCTAAAACGCTTGAGAAATTATTGTTCCTCAGATCACTGCATTTTGAATGTACAAAGATAAATGATTGGCATGAGATATGGTTTACAGAGCCAGACTTTTAAAACCGATGAAGCTCACTCCAAAAATTAACAAATAAGAAAACTTAATTCAATTTCAGAATAATGGGTTGTCAATGAGCCGTTGTAAATCAGCAGGGAAACAGTGAAGCATAACAGCAAATAATAACTCAAAGTTTCTTTTTCGGGATCTTACAGTGACAGTATAGCACTTGAACTCAAGGACATGTTCTGCCATATGCTAGCCGGGATAGAACCATCCAAAAAATTGTTATCAAGTGACCTGAAGTAGAACATAATTTGAAAATCATATTTAGATTAGATAACTCAATCATCATTAAGAAATGGTCTAAATAATAATTCATAACTGTAATTCCAAAACAGGAAATGACAAGGAATAATTAGAAGTAAATATATTCTCACAGTCTCTGAAGAGAAGGAAGATCTGAGAAACTTGCTGGGATGGATCCATTAAGACTGTTTTCTGACAGATCACTGCAATGACAAAGGTAAAATTACTCTGACATCCTCTCCATTTTACTTATCTATTTTGAACAAAATGAGTGACAAGTTTACGATGCCATTACATACATGGTTGTTATATTATCAGAAAGCTTATTTGATGGTATGGGTCCAGTAAGCTGATTCCCGCTAAGATCCCTGTCACATGAGCCCCGTAACAATTAAATATAAGTTAAATTCGGTAGTTATCTAGAATGGAAATAAATAAATCAAAACTCAAGAGTTAATGCATCCTACTGAAAGTGAAATACAAAAAAATCTGCAACAAAATTTGAACAATACTCAAACTTACAGATAGTAAAGCGTTGGAATCCTGCTAAGATCAGGAACGGCTCCCTGCAAGCTGCAATGTCTTAGACTTCTGCCAATTTTGGGAGAGAAAAGTGAAGCAGCATCAGCATAGCATATCATATTTTTTATGTATGGCAGACAACAATAGTGACCAAGCCAATATTTGAGCATTGCAGAGGTACTTCAGGTTTCAAACTCAGACTGAAGTTAACTTTTAGTAGATCCTGCTTTTATAATCAATTCATAGAATGTCTTCTTTTGGAGTCCTTACAAGTTACAGTTGCGACCCCTACCAAATCAAGTTGAATTATTGATTCCTGTAACATTTGTAGGTATACTAAAGATGACCAATTAAAGAGACAAAAAGGAATAGAATTTAAAGTAAATATGTGGACCTAACATTCTGATGTTTCATAAAAACATTCTTTAAAGAGAGTCTCTGAACAACAACTAAAGCAAGGTGATTGTATGTGCATTCAAAATTAACAATCAAAATTTTTTAAAAAGTTGGTTTGGACATCTGATTTATTCAAAATCAAGTTCGTAACTAAAGTATACTGATCTACAATCCATCATCAAATAGCCAAAGATATTGCAACCTCAACGAGGTGAGTGTATCTGTCTTTCCTTCCAAGACTAATTCCCAGTACTGTTTTCTTTCTAAATCCAAGTAAGAGGTCTTTAAAAAAATATTAAATCTAAAGGCCAAACAACATGCATAATTATCTGTATAATAATGTAAAAACAGTGCGAAAGGGGAACAGTATTCAGTAGCACTTACAATTTAACTAAGCTTGAAAAGTTTCCGTAAGTGGCTGGAATTTCTGTCCCACTAAAGTTATTGTTATCAAGTTGACTGCAGAGAGAAAAAAAGAAGAATAAAATAATTTTCAATATGATAAACCATGTTGCCTGTACACATAACCCCATTAAGCGTGCCCTTAATGGGGTTTAAAATTCCTTCCATCAACGAAGCAAATACAATCAAGCCGATATATAGTATGCGGGGCAGAGGAACATACAGTATGCGCAATGTTGGCAACTCTGAGTATTCTGGTGGGAGAGATCCAGTCAAGTTATTATTATCCACTAGCCTGCAAGCATGTGTTAATGAACTACAAATCTCTCTTGATCAGATAACAGCTTTTAACACAGAAAAATCGTCCGAACAAGAAAATGTTACAGCAGAGAATATATAATAAAAGCAAAATCTGTATGAACTCACAAGTGAATAAGTCTGGATAAATTGAAAAGCTCAGGTGGAAGTTGACCAACAATTGAATTGTTGTTCAAGTGACTGCAATATTCAGATATATCAGTAGAACAAATATAACTGCCTTGCCGAATGGAACTAGCCTATGGATTGATGATCCACTTACAAGTGTCTCATACTGGTCATGTTAGCGAATGATTTTGGTATAGTGCCCGAGATATTGTTCTCGTCTACTTGGAGTCTGTTCAAGTTTGAAAGCTTGCCTAGCTCTTCCGGTAAAGATCCTGATAATCTGTTTCCATTCAAGAGTCTGCACACACATGTACATCACGTAATATTAAACCAACACAAAGTATATTGTTTCAAATAGTATCATATTTGGATGTAAATAATTTAATAAACACCTGCATCTATAACTTACAAGAGTACTAAAGATGATATATTCCCTATCTCCTTTGGTATGCTTCCTGTCAGATCATTCCACATGAAATCCCTGCCAGCAGACAAAATCGAGAAAAGCATTCAGCAATACTGCATTGATTAACTTGGAAGATACAAGATAAAATTCAGTTTTCTCAAGATATCAACTTATGTAAATTTTGCCTCACAATATTCGAAGACGAGATAGTTGGCCAAGCTCAGGCGCTAAACTTCCCGAAAGATTCATGTTCAGCAGAAGCCTGTATCGAAAATAAGTGTTCAGTATCATTAATTATCACATCTTTAGAGTTTAAAGATTTGAAAAATCATTGAAAGTAGGATAGCAAGCATGAAAATGGTGAAAAGAGGTATGGAAAGGACATACAGATTCTGAATATGCAAGTAACCATCAGTCTCATCAGTTGTGTCAAAACATAAAACTCCGGTCCATTTTGATTGGCATGGATCTCCCTCGTTCCAGTTTCCGAGATGGTTCATAGGATCAATTAATCTTCCCATGACTGCCACCAATGCGCTGACTGCAAATGGATATGAGCAAATATAAAAATCATGGGATAAGGCATCTTCTAAATTCATACAGCCCAACTCCTAAATTCAATTCTCTTTTCATAAATGATTATCCTTGAAATAAGATGTCACACTCACATACACTACTTATAGCAGTATGCCATCTTCTCGGAGCAAAACATTGAACTTCAATAAGACACTTACACTATTTTACATATTGTCAACCTAAAACAAATGGAATAAACATAAATTAGTAGATTAATTTTTCACTGTTGTACTTTTTCTCACGGAAATTTAATGTAGTGCTGTTATATATTTTCAAAATTTGATCTCATCTATCATCTGCTGTAGAATTTGGTCAAGATTTATGGAAGTTAAATTAGAATATTTTAGAAACAAGATATTCCAAGAATAGACAGGACATAATGAAGCAACATATTTATTGGTACGCCTTCAAATATTTGACTGAATAGTGCAGCAAAATTGGCGGCTGCCATTTTCATCTGGTACTCAAGATAAAAAGTGGAATACTGCAGCAAAATCAAAAAGAAAATTAATACATATCTGGGAAAAGAAATTGCGTATTATAAATGCATTAAGAACTTCTTTAGATGAGAAAAACTAGATATCAAAACTTAGTACTGGGAGACATTGAAGAAAACTGAAAAGGAAAAACTCTAAACTTGCATTAAGATTCACCTTCTGAAGGATCTGTAATCTGAGCAACTGCAAAAAGCACCAAGTAACCATACAACCCCGCATAAACAAGTCCACAAAATCTCATCCCCGTCATCTTGATAATCTACAAAAGCAATTGACCAGAAAGCAGAAATAGCAAATGGTCAATGATAATTTGGCATTAACAGAACATTTACTTCCAACAAAAGAGTGAGCATTTGAACCCCAGAAGAACATTTGGCTGTAGGAAGCATGTTAAAGGGGAAAGTGAACAATCAACTCAAGTTTCCTATCAGAATGCTAAGTCTTATAGAATTACTTAGCTATCAGTAGTTGACTTGTCTTCTTCCTGAGTGCAAGATAAAGATAATTCTGGCCAAACATGAATCAATCAACTGGAAGATAATATCTTACTTGAGAAAGAGTCAATTAAAATATGTGAATCCGAAACCTTGAAGCATGAAGCCAAAACTCAATCAACTGAAGTCAAGGGATCCCGTGGGTGTTAAATGCTGAGAGCAAATTAACACAAACCGAGCCACAAAAGTTTCTGATAAAATGTTGTCGTCATGTATATGATCATAGACTTTTCTGAACTGAGGAAAAAAATTGTTTCTGAGATGGCACAGTCGTCATGGTTGGTTCATCTAAAAACCCCAAAAGATATTAAAACTCTCTGCTTTCTTCATAAAAAATATGCGACAGAGAAATTACAATAAAATAAGCTTTTGCTTCAGTTTTTTTCACTGCTACAATGGATATGGACATTTTATAAGTTTGCCTGCTACACAAACCACAAGAACATGAATTATTATGAAAAGGGCAGAGGGACGTATGGCGCGTGCTCTGAACGTGAATCATGAGTGGATCGTACTTTCATTATTTCAGACATTGGATGTCGAAAGTACAAGTGTTGGGGCGACGGGGGAGACAATTAACTTTTGTCTCAACGAGGCCAAATTACTGAATTGGGCTTCCTGGCGGCCATATAATACAACCATGATTAGCCCTCAAGTGATCAAGGTTGTATTTTTTTATCAGGGTTTTCAATGGAGTAAGTTTCAAGTACTCTATTAATTACGTTGAAAAAGGAAGAAATTGTCAAAGACCAATCCTTCAGATTTGGTTCCCAGCAAACATGATTTGAGTGAACCGCGATTATGTAAAGTTCAAAAGTAAATCTGTGCAACGAGACTCAAGTCTATTCAATTAGACTCCCATTGTAACAATCGCTACACATAAAGCAAGAATTTTCTTACTTCACTGTGATTTTTGCCATGTAATGGTGGATATGGGTGTAAAGACTTCTTTCATATTGGAGGAATAACAACTAATTCATTTTATAGCTAGAAAGATATGTTGTTACGAAAACGGGCAATAATTAGACAATCGACCACGGTGGGATTGGGTAGTATGTGTGCATAATTATAAATAATCAATTAGGAAAGAATTGGTGAATATGTAATGCAAGAACACAGAAGACTTTTAAAATGGTTCGGCGGGTTAGAACCAAGACTACGTCCACTATTATATTATTGCTTATGTTTGTTGTATACCCAAAGTGATTATAAGGAGGAAACATGTAATAACGAGCTAAGATTCTCTCTTGGTGATTTCCTATGCTTGTATGAATAATAATTGATCAATCCCCTAAAATAGAGGTGAGACCTCCCTTTTATATACACTGTCTAACAATGGTTGGAGGTTGGTATTATGGGGTGGATTACATGCATAATCCCTTATAATCAAGATCTGAATCAATTCTCGCTCATGCTTAAGTCTGAACACCTATACTTAGTATTGTTGAGCTTGTTGGAGAAGTCATATGCTATAGGAGCGACATGTGGGATGATTCTGACCGCTAGATCTCGGTAGGGTTTATAAACAGTTGGCATGAATCTGGCTATTGGAAAATCATGCACAACAAGATAAATGTTTGAAAATTGTAATTATTTTAGATGAAGACAAATAACATGATGAGATGAAGATTAGTAATAAGATAGAGACCAATTCCAATACATGTGAAGTATTGATATCGAAATGATAATAACTTTCTTTAGAAAATATCACGTACCAATTTAGGTTAGATCTAATAAACGTATTTTAAGAGAAGAACAATTCCATGAAACTTAATAAATCTGTATGGGATCGGATTGTTTTGTTCACAACACATTTTTTTCTTAGTCCAAGATAGTAACCCTTCTATAATCACCATTGGATGACCTAATAATAAAAGAATAAAGAGGTCCAATATGAGTTTCTGAGTTTAAGTATCTCCAAACACTAATAGGGATGGTCATTGAAGGGATTTACCTGGTCGTTCATTTCAGGGCCCCGAGGAATTAGTGATAATCCGTGGATTATACAGTTTTCATTAGACTTTTTATTCGGATTTCAGATACTTTCTGGTGCATTTTGACCTGAATTGTTGCTTAATTCTTTACAATTCGTGTTTCAGGTTAGAATGGGCATTTTTGAGCAAATGAGGACACAATTGGTTATTTGTGACTCAGAAGTTAGCGGATCTCAGAAGTTAAGTGAGTTCTGAAGCAGGATAAAGCACGATGAGGCTTGTTCCAAAGGGAGANAGTCGTCATGGATAGTTCATTTAAAAACCCCAAAAGATATTAAAACTCTCTGTTTTCTTCATAAAAAATATGCGACAGAGAAATTACAATAAAATAAGCAACAGTTGGCCCTTTTGTTTTCATATTCGTGTGAGAAATGAGAAGCTTTTGCTTCAGTTTTTTTTAACTGCTACAATGGATGTGGACTTTTTATAAGTTTACCTGCTACACAAACCACAAGAACATAAATTATTATGAAAAGAGGAGAGGGACGTATGGCGCGTGCTATGAACGTGAATCATGAGTGGATCGTACTTTCATTATTTCAGACATTGAATGTTGAAAGTACAAGTGTTGGGGCCAAGTGGGGAGACAATCAACTTTTGTCTCAACGAGACCAAATTACTGAATTGGCCTTCCTGGCGGTCATATGATACAACCACGATTAGCCCTCAAGTGATCAAGGTTGTATCTTTTTATCAGGGTTTTCAATGGAGTAAGTTTCAAGTACTCTATTAATTACGTTGAAAAAGGAAGAAATTGTCAAAGACCAATCCTTCATATTTGGTTCCCAGTAAACATGATTTGAGTGAACCGCGATTATGTAAAGTTCAAAAGTAAATTGTTGCAATGTAATGGTGGATATGGGTGTAAAGACTTCTTTTATATTGGAGGAATAACAACTAATTCATTTTATAGCTAGAAAGATATGTTGTTACGACAATGGGCAATAATTAGACAATCGACCACATTGAGATTGAATAGTATGTGTGTATAATTATAAATATTCAGTTATGAAAGAATTGGTGAATCTGTAATGCAAGAACACGAAGGATTTTTAAAATGGTTCAGCGGATTAGAACCAAAACTATGTCCACTATTACATTATTGCTTATGTTTGTTGTATACCCAAAGTGATTATAAGAAGGAAACACGTAATAACGAGCTAAGATTCTCTCTCGGTGATTTCCTATGCTTGTATGAATAATAATCGATCGATCGCCTAAAACGAAGGTGAGACCTCCCTTTTATATATACTGTCTGATAATGGTTAGAGGTTGATATTATGGGGTGGATTACATGCATAATCCCCTATAATCAAGATTTGAATGAATTTCCGCTCATACTTAATTCTGAACACCTATACTTAGTACTATTGAGCTTGTTGGAGAAGTCATCTGCTATAGGAGCGACACGCAGGATGATTCTAACCGCTAGATCTCGGTAGGGTTTATAAACAGTTGGCATGAATCTAGCTATTGGAAAATCATGCACAACAAGATAAATGTTTGAAAATTGTAATTATTTTAGATGAAGATAAATAACATGATGAGATGAAGATAGTAACATGGTAGAGACCAATTCCAATACATGTGAAGTATTGATATCGAAATGATAACAACTTTCTTGTGAAAATATCACGTACCAATTTAGATTAAGTCTAATAAACATTTTTTAAGTGAAGAATGATTCCATGAAACTTAATAAATCAGTATGGGATCGGATTGTTTTGTTCACAGCAACATTTTTTCTTAGTCCATGATAGTAACCCTTCTATAATCACCATTGGATGACCTAATGATAAAAGAATAAAGAGGTTCAATATAAATTTCTAAGTTTAAGTCTCTCTAGACACTAACATGGATGACCATTGAAGGGATTTACCTGGTCGTTCATTTCAAGGTCCCGAAGAATTAGTTAAACTGTACGTAAACTGGTCCGAACACTTAGATCATAAAATTAAAAATTAAAAATTAAAAAAATTAAAAAATTAAAAAAACCATTCTATGGTGGATACTGGTGCAAAGACTCCTTCCATATTGTTGGAAAAGCCACTAATTCACTTAATAACTGCATTGATAAACGTTTAGACCTTGTGATTATTTTAGATGAAGATTAACAAGACCGACACCTATAAATTTAAGTTTTGTTATTGAAAACTGAGGACTTTTATCAAACTGATGTCACAGTTTGATGAATTTATTTTTTAATGGGTGAAAATGAGAGATAACTAGGAGCTGTCAATGAAGTGCCTTCTACGAATTCATATGCAGCTATTTAGATATAAATTGACAATTTCCTTTCATAATTTATGCATATCCATTAATTATACATGTACCCAGTTGGCCAGTTTTTAAAACCTCCTGTTCTTGGTGCACATAAAGTCAACTCTACAGATTTTATAGCCACTCAAATGGTGGCCATTTATGGTGTGACTTTTCTGAAAAATGGTGTCATATAAATATTAATGTGCAATTATTTTTATATATTTTAAGTTTATTAATTTCATAAAAATTTTAAAAAAATTAAAAAATTAAAAAAAACACTCTCATCGACCTATACTTGTCAGATTCCAACAACCGTCACCGGTGGTAGTCAGAATCTATCACAACGGCTTATACCACAACCAAAACTGACCGGTAATTTATCGATCTGGCCTTTTCTGACCAAATCCACAGTGGATCTGGCCGAAAAAAGCCAGATCTGGTCGTCAATGATGGCCATAGCTTTGGCCATTGCTGCCGGGCAAAGATGGGCTTTTACGGCTGTCGACAGCCACATCTAGTCATAGATCTGGCTGGAAAAGGTCATATCGACGCCATACCTGCCAAATTCGACCAGTATGTGTCATTACGTAATTTTTCTGCTAGATTCCAACGGTGGTGGCCGGAATCTAGCACTGCGGGTGGTGAGATGTTTTTGTCATTTTACAAAATTT